GCAAAGCCTCAGAAGCGCGGGAACCCGCCCGGTGCCCCTGGTCTGCTGGAGACAGTCTCCAGCAGACCAGGGGCACCGGAGCAGCTTACGAACGGGGCTCTCTCACCCCGGAGCCCGCAGGTAGCAATCCGCCACCTTGACCTCCGGGGCGAGAAAGCCCTGTTTGTAAGTGTGGATCCGACGTAAGTCAGATCCGTGTAAGTCGGGGACTGCCTGTACCCATTTTTTGTGTAGTCACCTATGCACACAGAAGAAAATAGTCCCTGCCTTGTTCACATCCACAAAATACACCTATCCAGAGAGAACTGATACACTCAACCTCTGTCTAACACACACAGAGTCTATACCTTACATGTGCAGATGACAGTGCACAAGAAGAGTACACACAGAAATCCACTGAGGCAAGCAGAAGCCAGGTTAAAGCAACACGGAAAATCAAGACTTATGAAACCTTTTGCACTTTTCCAGCTGTCTTAGATCACGTCAAAACCACATGCTACTTTACAATTGTCTAATCGCTGAAGATCTCAATGTTTAGCTACAGCCAAGTCCACAGCAGTCTGCAGCACAGGAAAGACAGTAGGCAACTTCACCTTTTAAGTCTATTTACTAAACATAGCAGGTGGCAGATGATGTCCTTCTACAGATATATCTGCTCCAAACTGATTACGTTAAATCAGTCCCAAGATCGCAGCAATGGCTCGGGGAAGTGACAGATTTAAAAAAACGTTGAATCTGGCTGCAGCAGAAGCAGGAAGATCTGAGGATGAACTGACCCTGGCTTTGGCCTGGTTTATCCCATGCTGCCATGCGTGACTGTGCTGAGGACATCTATAGGGATCCTTTAAGGTGGACTTATACACACCATTGCATATAATAAACAGAGGGGCATGTTTGCAAACCACTACACCTGCATGGATCCTGCCTAGTCAAACTTCCATCCCCCTCTGGCAAGTCGGGTGTACAGAACAGACACTGCACTGGTGGCATGTTGCACACCTTCATGCAATGGATGAAAATTGTGTGTCCAGTCTGATATTATGAGATCCATCAGCTTCCTTCAATACTATTCACCACAGAGTGTTGCTGACTCATTTCCAGATTTTAGGAGGAGTAAGATGGTTCTCAATGTTCGTTCTCAATGAGCCACTCCCAGAACGAAGAGCTCATTGAGGAAACCCAAAGGCACTGTTCACAGGAAGTTCCACTGGGCTCCCTCTTATCACCCCAATTGCACAAAATGTATAAGAGACCAATAGCAAAGAGGCTTACTCCCAGAACGTAGAGCTCATTGAGGAACCCCCAAGGCACTGTTCACTGGAAGTTCCACTGGGCTCCCTCTTGTCACCCCAATTGCACAAAGTGTATAAGAGACCAATAGCAAAGAGGCTGGGCTATGGGACACTCTGTAGTCTGAAGACAACACGCTACAAGACTCCAGCTTGCCTGACTCAACCAGTGCAGTCAAATGCCTATGCCAGTGGCTAGGTGAGTGTGGCATAGATGAGAGCTATCTGGCTAAATCAAAATAAGCCTGGAATGACACTGGTAGATTGGGGAAAGCAAATGGCAGTTGAGGATATCTGCCCCACCATGTGTTTCTGCCATTTGTGACTTGAGTTCACAATCTGGGGGTACTTTTGGATCACCAGTAGGGATGTTAGATATCATGTAATTGAATAGTCATGTAACCACAAAGTATTATCAGTCACCTGACTATCTGATAGTCGACAGGGACAGCAGCCAGTGTGCTCCTGGGAAAGCAAATGGCAGTTGAGGATATCTGCCCCACCATGTGTTTCTGCCATTTGTGACTTGAGTTCACAATCTGGGGGTACTTTTGGATCACCAGTAGGGATGTTAGATATCATGTAATTGAATAGTCATGTAACCACAAAGTATTATCAGTCACCTGACTATCTGATAGTCGACAGGGACAGCAGCCAGTGTGCTCCTAGCCCCACCGCGCCCCCCCCTGCCACTCTGCGCTGCTGCCTCTCTATGAGGGTGCAGGGTGCCAGGTAGGAGCTGGTCCGCAAGGGAAGCCAGTTTAAAAGCCTATCCGAGGCAGCAGTAGCGGAAAAGTGTGTCTATGTGGGGGGGGGGGGGGGGGGGAGGAGGAGAAAGAGAGAGGCAGGTAGATCCAGTGCTTGTGCTTGCTTGCTTAAAGCCAGCTCCTCATGGGCACCAGCTCTTACTCCCTCCCCCTTGCTGCCTCTGATTCAGTGCTCCAGGATCTAGGTTGGCTGCCTGTGGCTTTAAAGTGGTGCTCTTTCTTTTTATTAACATAAGGCCCTGAACGGCTTGGATCCTGGCTACCTACAAGACTGTCTCTCCTTGTAATACCGTCACCACTCTGCTGCAGTCAGCAGAGCTGCTTGAGAGCTGTGCTACCAGGGCTCCAACAGAAAGGGTTATTGGAAAGAGGTCCTCTGTACATGAGCTTAAACCTGGGCCTTCTTGGCTGGAAATAATACCTTGAGGGCACACTGGAAGGCCCATCTCTGTACCCAACCATTTGGGGAAGAAGCAGCATGCTAAGGGCTGATACCTGTGGAGAAAGAGTATTGTTTGAATTTGTTTTTATGGTGTTTGGGCATTTTCTTAACTGGGGCAGTGGATTATTTCTGAATTGACCACATTTTTGACCCCTAGAGATTAGGACACAGGTTTTTATTTTCTTACAAATCTAAAGTAAGTACATATTATAATGCCAAATGCCAGCCGCACCTCCAAAATGGCTGCACTGCTTGATTAACAATTTTAAGAATGTGAAACAAAAACACACACACACATAAAAAAGTTACTGCTTCTCTGCTCTTTCAAAGGGGCAACATATTTCTTTGCTTCATTGTCCATAATACCTATTTACAGAGAATAAACCATGGATACAATCCCCCTTCAAAGCACAAGCTATCAAGCAGCTCAAAATGCATGACACTAAGTGAATTTCTAATGCATAGTTCAAGATTCAACCTCATGCTGCAAGTATAACAGAGAAGATATGGTGCAGTGCACAATGATTCCACACGTTCCAGGGGTGTTTCTGCCTCACTGAGGAAGCACTCCTCACTTTAAAGAGTTAAGCTTGTGGCTAGTTGTCACCCTATCCGGGACTCAGCAGGAGAGAAGAGAGGTTGAAGTTTAGGTGATTAGAAGCACCACTGAAAATCACACTTGATGCTCTGCACTACACTTTTTTTCAAATATTTTGTCATTTGTTTATAGCTCACATGAACACCAGGAGCGTGGGAAACATGAAAAAGGGCAGAACCATGTGGCAGAGAATCCTAAAGAGTAGCTGGGGAATTGCAGACAAACATGGAGAGATCAGATGTTTAAAAAGAAAGTCTTGTATTTATGGTGAGGAAAGACAACACAGATCCAACAGGAGGGGATCAGATCCAATACTGACATCCATCACATTAAAATGACTTCATTTTCATCAAGATCCTGTAGTTCTACCTACTTCTCAGAGAGAAGAGGAATCAGGACTGAAAGATTAGGAAGGAGCTGGTTTGTGACAGGATCTCTATTTTTAGACGTGCTCTACACTATTACAAAAATGTGAAACCCATTGTAGTGGAACATCCACCAGGATTTAAATAGTCTTGCATAAGTCACATGAAGCTAACACCACTAATAAGATCAAGATGTCAAATGAAAATCAGACACAAGGCAATAGCTCCTGAGCTATGGATGATGCATTCATTGGCCTGACCCACGCAATACTGATTCAGATGTTCCACAGGTTGGAAAGTATTTTTTCTGGTTTCTGAGCTGTATCCTGCACTAGCAGGACAAGGAGAAAAATATCAAATTAAACCTGATTATGAATATTGTTATAATTCAGGGTTCAACTACAGCAGTGTTTCTTAAACTCACAGGTATGCCGTGACCTCTTCATTGTTTTTGTCTTTTTTTGGTCTGACAATTATTTTTTTAAGAAAATGTTCATAGGTGTTCCGCATAAAAAAATACTATTGTTTGGTGTGCCGTGGTCTCAAAAAGTTTAAGAAACACTCAACTACAGCAACTCATTAGGATACAGAACTAGATGGAATGCTGGTTGATCTGCTACGGCAATTTCTGTGCTCCTAGGATTCCAGCATCTTTCTCATATCAACTATTCCCAGTTGTGGCTCCTAATTCCCCACAAAATGGGTATCTTTTAAATGCATTGCACTAGGACAGATTGTTGAGTGTAGCAGACTGAGGGTTGAAAGTTTCCTAACAAGCAATGTCTTGGGATCAGAGAGCCCAAAAGAGGGCCACCCTTGGGAACCTGTTTAAAACCGAACACACTGCAGCCACCTGCACTGTTAGGGCTAGGGTGCAACCCTTGATAGATCAGGTCCTGCTACGCAGTACACCAGTGGTCTTCCATGTGACTACATATGAAGCAGTGCATGTTGAGGTCCAAAGGGGCCTGTATGGAAGAGGATGACAGCCATGGAGTATCACTGGCTATCCAGCCACACACTGCCCGTCCTGAGCCTACAGCTCCAATTACTACTTGTGCCGTTGAAATGTTAGATGAGGAATCAATTGCTACCACTGGATTGCAGGATAATCTGCCTTCTGCTATACTCTTTCTTACTTTGAGAGACAGCCATCTGAGTGACGTCCATGGACACGCAATACTAGTTCACACTCAATGCACACAATATGGCATCCATACAGCTTAATGAAAACTGAAAGGTCTCTCTTACCTGGGAATGCATTGATATCAATGACTGCATGCTGGCCAGTTTGATTGTTAATGATAATGTCAATCCCAAAGAGGGAAACCCCCAGCGCCTGTCTCAGTGCCTTGGATATCTCCCGGATGACGTCATCATTTGGCCGTTCAAACACACCTTCGATTTTATCCAGCTACAGTGAAAAAGACAAAGAGAAACCACTGAGGGGCTCTGAAGTGGGCTCTCTTTTCAGTGTATGTATTATTTACAGAGCTTCCCTGTTCTACATCCTCTAGGACCCAACTGCAGGGAAGCCCATTGCACGAAAGAATGAACGAAAGAAGCCAAAAGAACTTTTCTGTGATTCTGCATCCGGTATATATTAAAAATCAGACTCACAGAGTACAACAGAAGAGCTTGATTCTCTATTTGTTAAACTGATTTTACACTGACGTAATTCCATGGAGATCAATGGATACACACACCAACACAAAACTGAATGGAGAATTAGGCCCAGTATCTTAAATATTAGACATAAATTTTAAAAGAAAAAGAAAAGCGAAGCCTCTGCTTCTGCACTGCAGCTTTTCTGCCTTTCATCCTGTACTGTAACAAGGTCGGGTCAGAGGCATACAATGTGAGCCCTAGATTAAGGCGGTCTTTTTTCCCCTGGGTAAACTGGCAGGGGCTGGCCTAGAACTAGTAGGAACTTTCCAGAAGCAGTCAGAGCAATCAGGCCAGTTAGAACACCTGGTGCTAATTAGGAGCCTTGCCCAGCTAAGCAGGCAGGCTAATCAGACCACCTGGGGCCAATCAAGAACCAGTTGAAACTGGTTTAAAAGGGTTCCTCTTCTGGTAGTTCAGAGGCATGCATAAAGCAAGCAGCAGCCAAAGAACTGAGAGGGAGAGGAGTCTAGGTGAGAGCTGGAATCTGCATGGCAGGAAGAGTGTGTTGGAGGAGCAGGATAAATTGCTCAGGTACCAGAGGAAAGGCACTGGGAGGGATTGTTTGGGGAAGTGGCCCAAGGAAGTAGTTGCCAGATGAGGAGTAAAACAAACCCCATCTGTTACTGCTGCATTAGGGTCCCTGGGCTGGAACCCGGAGTAGTGGGTGGGCCCAGGTTTCTCCCCTAGCCCTTCTCACACCAGTACAGAGTCTGTCCCTAGCTGTGGGCCCAGGTTTCTCCCCCAGCCCTTCTCACACCAGTACAGAGTCTGTCCCTAGCTAGGGAGACCAGGACTAGAGGGGTTTCACCCCCATCTTATGGACTAGCCTGTGATGAGTATGGCTCAGTAGGCTGTGAACCCTCCCTCTCCTGAAGAGAAAGAGGCCATGTGGTGGGACACAGCGAGCCTCTGAGGCCAAACACTATCTGCCAGAAGTGGCACAGCCAGAGCTCTGCCACAGTGCATTTGTTAAGCCAATATAAAATTAAACTCGTCTGCAGGGATTGATAAATGGCTGACAAGGAGAATTACTTAAGAGAAGATAAGGTGCATTACTACTTTGCTCAGTGTTTTGGGTCACTGCTCAGGACAGTGACTTAATAAGAGAGGTCTCTTGTATGGGTTAGAAGTCTCAGGTCACTTTGAAGGTGAAATTTAACCTCCCTCATTTCTTAGCAAAGAGACTGAGCCATACAAGTACAGTTTTGTGTATAGAACAGCTGTGTACGCATCCAAAACATAAGCATAAACATTAACTCATCACAAAATTTAGCCACTGGAAGGGATTTATGATTAATTCATTGTCACCAATAACATTTAGCGTGCCAATTAGTGGTACTTTAGTCACTAAGTTAATCTTCTGACTACAAACCAACTAGACAAAAAAGAGAAGAATATGGAAACACACTACAGGCCCAGTCCTGCTAGACTATTTCAAAGGGAGTTGAGAGTGCTCAGCACCATACAGGAGATGGTCTTACCATAGCTATTAACAGCGCTAGACAAACACAGTAAGGGTGTGTTTGGAGTTAGGGTACTCTGTCAAAGAAATAGGGGAGGCCTACTGGACCGAGCTCAGGAGTGCATAGATGCTTGGGCAACTCCCTTGACTTCTCTGCTTTGCATTTTCCCTGTTTGTCAAATGGGGATAACATTGCCTTACCTCACAGGAGTGCTTAAAGGATTCAGTAAGGCTTATCAAGCTCTCATGAGATGAAAGGTACTAGAAATGATTACTCAAGACCTTTCCTTTCCCCAGCTGGACTAGCTTTCATTTGAGGTAAAATGCCACAAAGCAGCAGACAGACAGACATGCAGCAGCATTTCTGCTTCCACAACAGAAAGGAGAAAAACTTTGTAAGGGATATTAAAGGATGCTTTAAATTATGCTGGTTCTAAGCAGCAAACAGATGTCAATTTACTAGCCGGGAGCTAACAGCATAATTTATATGCAAGAGTCACCACTATTTATTAATAGTTTAAGAGATTAGTTTTCTGTCAGACTTGAGTACTTACTGCTGTTAAGACAGAGGAGGATTCTGGCTTCGACACATTGTGGCTGTTGAAAAATATTGATTCTCTATCTGCAATTAAAAAGGAAATTATAAAGAATTAGCACTTGGATTTAAATTTTTAGAAGATTTGTTTATACCATATGTAACACTAGGTGGCAGTGCAGCCCAGGGAATTAATCCTGCTCAATAGCTGAAAACATCTTTATGTTATCCCTTTATGCCTTCATATTACAATCTCTCTGAGTCTCTGGCCCAAGCTGGGGAAGCCAATGACCCAACCACCAGACCAAATTTGTTAATGAATCCCAGTCATGGGCCACCTGAGGCATGTCACACATATACTAAGATGACAGCTCTGTCATGCAAGGCTTCTTCTTGCACCTAGGCACCTGCCCATGACAGAAAACCTAGTCTGAGTCCCACACAGCTTCCAAATGTGAAGACATAGAACAGGTAAAGTGTGTGTCTGCCTGTGAGGGTAAAATACAGAACTGTTTCTGCAGTCAAGTTCATTAAAGAATATTTTCTGTAAGATAATTAAATCATTTGTAGGACATTGTTAGGAATTAAAGTAACCATTCAACTGGAAATGTACAAGATTTCATTTACATGACAGATGGGGGGGGGGAGAGAGAATATTTTACAGTTGGACTAGAGACACTCAAGTAAGTGCAGGGGACATGTAAATTATACCTCTCTGTACCCAAGGTGGACCCCCATGACCCAGAGGAGGGTAAGCAGTCTTGTTGCCACCTAGATTCCCTTAGGGATTCGACTCACAAACAGGAAGGGCCTTTAATTTGAAGACACCACAGCAGCCCTGCTATGGAGGCTGCTCAGGGAATTGTATTAGCACAGGGGTTCTCAGACTGCATTGCACCATGATCCTCTGCTGACAAAAAATACTAAATCCCCCCAGGAAGGAGAGACTGAAGTCCGAGCCAGCCTGAGTTCTGCCCCTGCAATGGGGGCTGGGGCCAAAGGGCTTCAGTCCCAGGTAGGGGTCCTGTAACTTAAGCCCTGATGCCCAAGTCTCAAGCCCTCAAGCCTGGGTGACGGAACTCAGACTTCCTGGAGCCAAACCAATGGGTGATGGAACTCAGACTTCCTGGAGCCAAACCAAAACCTAAGCCAGCCCTAGTGACCCCAATGAAAGAGAGGCATGACCCACTTTGGTGTCCTGACCCACTGTTTGAGAGCCACTATATTAGCACATCCTCTGGCCCTGCAACCCCCCCCGCCAAAGGCAATTTATTCTCCTCCAAGAGAGGGAATGTTGTGATAGCTTTCCATCATGACAACCTGTTCTCTTGGGCTTACCAGAGGCCACCACCCTGTGTACGTAAAGCCAGAAGTCAATCTGGAACAGCACCAAAGCACACGGAGTGCTGAATGTGTAGGGTTATCACACATTTGCTGTGTGATATAAGGTATATTTCTATGGGGCTGCTCCCTCTTCAGACTGGACCAAGGCAGCTAATCAGCCACAGGATTATTGTACTTCATCATAGGAAAGATGCAGGAATCACAGGAGGCAAAGCAAAAACAATCTGTGAGCTTTGGCAACAAGCTAGAAAGCAGTATTCAAGATTAGAGGCAGGTGGTAAGTCCTAGATTTAATTCATCTGTGGCCTTTTTTCAGTGGGGCTCAGCAGTGGTCTCTTCCAGAGATGGGGTGCTCAGCAGCTCTGAAAATCAGCAAGGGTGTGCTTAGCTATCCATAACCATGCACATCCCTGAGAAGCATGGGAAGCTTAGAGTTACACTTGGGCAAAAATGGCGGGACACAACCAAATCTTAGCTGAGGGAGAAAAATCCCACTGCAAAGACTTGGAGTTTAACTGCAGAGCTGAGGCCCGTCGCCTCAGGAAAACACAATGCAAGATGCACTTTAAAATATAAGCTTTTTAAATAAAGTGAATGTCAAGGTAAGTCCCAAGTTATTGTTTCAAAAGACTCATCCCTTCTATAGTTCCACATGACCTTTCTAACCAATGCAATCCTTCTAGCCAGAGGAAAGAATGCCAGACAGGAGTGCAGGGAGCACGAAAAAAGGCAGAAGCAAAGAAGCAGCCCCTGAAGGAAAAAGGCAAACCTCCCACAAGCCCCTGAAGGAAAATGACAAACCTCCCAAAAGCTCTCTAGTAAGGATGCTGTCTGGCCAGCTTCATTCTTCTTGTTCCAGTGCTAATCACTGAAGGAGGAAGTAATGCTCAGGGGCTAAGGCAGTGGGCAGGCAATAATTCTTGATGGGGAAGGCTTTTGGTAAGATTTTGGTAAGTGGGGCCTGGGATGGACGTTGGGTACAGAAGGGAGATCAGATTAGGGGACTGGAGTGCAGGAGAAGGTGTGGGGTCTGAAAGGGAGTTTGAGTGAAGGAGGGGAACTGAGACTTAGAGGCAGAGGATTGGAGTGCAGGGTCTGGTAGAGGATATGGTGCAAGAGAGAATTATGGCCTGGGGGAGAAGTTTAGGAGAGGATGAAAAGTCTGTGATAGGGAGAGTGCAGAGGGTCTATTTACATCTTTGCCCAAGTGTAACTCTAAGCTGCCCATGCTTCTCAGGGATGTGCATGGTTATGGATAGCTAAGCACACCCTTGCTGATTTTCAGAGCTGCTGAGCACCCCATCTCTGGGAGAGACCACTGCTGAGCCCAACTGAAAAAAGGCCACAGATGAATTAAATCTAAGATTACCACCTGCCTCTAATCTTGAATACTGCTTTCTAGCTTGTTGGAAGGGAATGGAGTGCAGGGTCCAAAAGGGGGTATGGGTGCAAGAGAAGATTCTGGTCTGGGAAGGGGTTTAGGAGGGGCTGCAGAATCTGGGAGGGAAGCAGAAGAGTACCCACGGCAGGCTCTGGCAAGAGGTGCTTACGCCTAGGCAACTTCCAGCCAGCAGCCCCAGACCACTGACTGGCTCTCTGAGCTGTGGGGGAGGAGGCTGCCCCCTCCAGCAAAATCTCTTGGCACCTATTGGCAGGTTTCCAGCCAACAGAAACAGAGATGGGGGGGAAGGGGGAGAGAACCTATTGAAGCCTCTTCCTCCCCCACCACACCACAGCATAGAGTCACAGGGAGCAGTTAGCCACTTTGACTGCAGGGGCAGGCGCAGGCCAGATCAAAAGGCTTGGCAGGCAGTATCTTGCCCACCCCTGAGCTAGGGCCAAGCAGCAGAAATTCAAATATCCTGTCTCTGCTCCTACTCTATAAGGATTCACATTTCTGTAGTCAGCTACTGCAGACTCTTGAAACAGTCAGACCTGCTTGATCCCTTGTTCATAACATGTCCCTTGCCAGCAGTGGATTTTGAGCCAAGAAATCCAGACTTGGAATCCAGAGATTCATTCAAACCAGTGTGCAAATTTCATTTTTAAAAGGGGTTCAAAGTATCTTTAAAATATTAGACTACTAACCTAAATGTCTGCATTAATGCACTGTCCTTCATACACATGCCTTAAAATTAGTTGATACTTCAGTACATTTCCCTAATGCTAATTTCACTATTTCTTTCATACTAGTCCCATTGCTAAACTTTTTCTGATTCCTATGATCAAATGAATGTAGTTCTCAATTCCTCAGTCTTCACAACAGAAAGCTGTTCTTCTTCCAAAAAGGAAATTCCAGCAGACTCAATTAATACCCTTCAAACTTGTGTTGATTTATAACTGTAGCTATTGATAACTACAGGAGGACTATTAGCCAAGTAGTTCTATTTTGCTTATCCCAAAAATAGTTGCCAAGTGGAACCAAATGAAAATAATCAACTATTTCCCCTGAGAATTTCAAGAACTGGCCTTTACATCTATAAACCAAGAGGCTCCTGCATGGGAGAACTCAACTGTTCGTACTTTAAACACACACACAAAATGAACAAAGTAAAGTCGGGGCAGGAAGTTCCAAATTGATGGAATCCAGGAATTTCCCTCTATCTTGCCATTATAACTCAAGAGCAAATGACAAATGGAAATACTGAGTGTTTAGAGAGTTTCTAGTAAAGCACCTTTCTCCACTTCCACAATGACATAAAACACAGCTTTTAACAGATTGAAGATTCAGGTTAATTTCACAAACATTTACTATAACAATATGTATTCCAGTGCAGATGAGTTATCTCCCTTCCTGTTGAAATAACACAGAGGAGGAAGTACAGCATGTAAAAAAAGCAGATGCTTTAATTTTAGCAGCCTATTCAAAAACATTTTTCATTCAGGAACTCTGCCGCCAAAGGCCTCTGAGCACTTGCTAGCAGTTCAGCTGGTGCATGCAGGCACTTTACCTGAAATGCCTGCTGAGAAGTTCTTTAAAGATGGTCTTTTTACCACAGTGTAGGACTCCCCGACCACAAACACTTTATACAGCACAGCGTTGTGATTGATGAAACTCTGAATCACACAGGGGGGCCGGATGGCCTTGAGGCCTTCTTGGTTGAATATGATTGCCATCTGAAATACAAAATGCAAACAGTTCTCTCCACAAGGATTTGAGCTTTCATTTATTTCCCATTTTTCTGTTGTCTGGTTGAAATATGTGATGTGGGAGAAAATCTAGTCAGGGATAATCACCAAGAGCAATCCCCTCTCAGCAACTAGCTTCTCTTTTATTACATTTACTGCAGCAATAAGCCTAAGTCCCTAAGGGTGTTATCAGCACAGCTTTCAGTTGCACACATCATTTTAAATTAAGATTCTTTTAAATATGTAGAATAGCATTTGATCATTCTCAGTTATGCAAGCATCTCAATTTCATTTTTAATTTAAAAATCAATAAAATACCTGAGTGACAGAACCTGGAAAATACCCATCAGATTATGCAGGGAATTAGAGATATGGAAAAATAGAGGCAGGCATCAGGTCATCCTGACCCTCTTTGCCAATGAGGTTCAGCTGTTTCTCTAAAAAGATGGTTTGGTCCAGTTTTAAATCTTCCAATCAACTGGGGTTTCTGCCGCTTCACTGACAAATTCTCTCTGAATCTAACCACCTTCACTGCTAAGAAATGCTCAGCCAACATTTGCCTTGGTTCAGGTTTCAACCCAAATGAAGAGCCCTGTTAGATGAGTGACACAGGCTGGGAAGAAATACGCCACAGAGAAAGCCATTTATTTATGGGCTCAATGAGGAAGAGCAGCTGGCTCAAACCTAGCCCTTGTAAGATGGAAGTGATGCTGACGGGTAAAGGACACACTCTGTAGAGCCACCAGAATCCATATCACATGATATTCGACTATACTTGGGCACCCTGGTTAAGTCACTGGTCAGAAATCTCATTAAAATCTTTAATTAGCTTTAAGGCTATGCCCTCTCCTTGCGGGCAAAACCCTGGCTGCAGTGATCCATGATCTTGTCTCTTGGGAGAGGGACTACTAGTTTTTCTCTTGAGTTCAGCTTAGTCCAGAATAATGCCCACAGAGTTTTAGTGATTAGTCCTAGGTCACAATGGCAGAGTTCAAAACACAGTCTATGAGTCCTGACTGAATCCCCCTCAAACTAGATTGCCATTTCTCATCATAAACTCTCTGACTCCTTGCTTGCATTCCACAATTAGCTAGATTTCAGCAAAGTCAGGATAACCGAAGGGATTTTACAAATGACACTCCATGGAACACTTTCTCCTCTATGTGTACTTCTCTATTTGATTTACATTGTACTCTTAGTTTGTGAAGCTATATTTGAATTCATGTTAGCTTTCTACTTCATTCCTGTATAATAAGATGATAAATATTTCAACAAAAAGCAATACTTTAAAAAACAGGCAAAAATCTAGATAAGATAAGCAATGGAATGAGTATAAACTTATAACTAAAAGGCTGAGAACATGTTTGTCTATCTGTTTATTATTCTGTTTTCTTCTATATCTGGCAGACCATATTAAATCTCATAATTGTCTGCATGTGTAAACAAACAGGAGATTCTCTACCATTTTCTGAGTGAAAGTTAGTGCATGTAGCCAATGCCTATTTGCAACTGAGTTTTTTACTCGATCGTTATTCTACTACTTAGCAGCCTATCTTATTTGTGCATGCTAATCACCTCTGCAAGTAGTCGTCTGTAACCAAACTGGGTGGGGCCTCCATATACAACCCCAGGATTGTACAGGGAGGGTCAGCATTTTGCCTAAGGCATCAGAGAGGACAATGAACTATAATTACTTCCTTCCGATCCTGTGCTCAAGCCACTTGACATGCTACTTTCATCAAACACAACATCCCATGCTTCTTGAGCAGCCATTTCCCACATACAGCTATGACAGGACAGACTGCCATCAGATAGTAAATGAGCCCTAATACTCCCCCTAGGAATGTGGCAACTTCAAAAATGGGTCTACGCCAGAGGGACTGAAGTGTCATGCAGGACCTCAGGCATTGCTGAGGACACCAACCTGTGCACTAATAATCAGCTTCCATGAAAAGCCACAGCAGTATAACTCTATTCGAGCATCACATCTTGCAGATGATGGGATGCTAGCAGAAAACTTAAATAAGTCAGTACTTTTCATGAGAATGGCAAGGAGGGGATCATCAAAGCATTGAAAGTCCAAGCTTTACTCATTGGGCACTGAAGCTTTGTGCATTTCATGTGGCAGTTATAGTAGAGCCAGGAGCAGGGTCACAAAAATCAGATCTCCTCCAGCAGAGCAGTACCTGAAAAGCTGAGTGGCCAGCAACTATCTGGCACTCCCTTAAACAAGGTCCTTTGGGAGTTATGTGCCTTTTGTCTTTGTAAAGAGGATGTATGGTCTATGTAAAAAAATAATGACCTCTTTAACAGAGAATACTGGTCACTCATTTTGTGAACAGGCGCCATGTTCCTTTAGATCTGCAGTTCGCTCCAGGGCCCTTCGTTCTCAAAGGTGCTGGGGTAACAGCAGCAGATTTTAGAAAGCATCTTGAAACATATATGTGGCCATAGATAAGGAAAGGAAAAAGGAAACCTTCATTCACAAGGAATAGGGCCTGGATTCTCATAGTGGGTTTGGAGGAGGAGGGTGGAAGGAAAGCTATAGGAGAGTAAACTGAAATAGGGTTTCTCCACCTCTATGGTCAAGATTCTGGAAAAGATGGGGGTACTTCACCTCAGTTCCCTATATTTATGGCTAGTTAAATGCACAAGAGACTCACTTTCCTCTGGAATATAGTCATTTCAGTTATGGCCACCTCCCTGACAGGGCAGGGAAGGGGGTTCTTCTCCCAGGCAATCCTTTCCACTCCCCCTTCCACCTCATGAAGGGGTGAGCCTATGTGTGGCTCTGTGCCTATTTTCTTCTCCCTTTTCCTTCCCCTAGCCATGAAGAGGAGTGTGAGAGAGCTGCCTCTCCTCCCCACCCACTGCTCACCGAAGAGAAGAAATTGGGCAGCCCTTCCACCCTGAAAGAGAGGATCAAAGGCTCCATATGTAAGGGGACTGTTAGCCTCTTATTAAAACTCAGTGGGAGTTTTTTGTTGGCCAGCTCCCAGTACCAAAAGGGGAAGGGTCCATCAGAATGACAGTCCCCGGGGACAATGGAAAGAGGCCAACACTCCAGGTCAGCCCAACTGACAGGTCGGACAGGCCAATGAGGAAATTAGAAGGCCAGGTCCCATCGTCTGTGTGAGCTGGGATTTTCTGGGTCTCAGAAAAAAGGAGAGAGCGCTAAGAAGCAGCAAAAAGAGCAAGCTGTGCTAAGACACAGACCTGCAGTGACAGAGCCCCCCCCACACACAGCCAAAGGAGTGCAAACTGTGCTGAGAGGCAGACCTGCAGTGACCAGAGAGCCAAAGGGGTCAGAGAAGCAATGCAAGGAGCTGGAGACTGGCAAAGCAACCTAGTCTGCAGCTGGGTGTGGTGAGCAGCTGGGACCAGCAAAGTGGGGGGAGAGGCTCTGGGCAGGGAGACACCACCAGCCAAGAGGCCTTGCAGGCCAGACTTGGAGAGGGATTGTAACTCCAACTGGGAGAAGGGTCCTGCCACCCAGAGCCTGAGGCTATGTGGTCACTGCCAGAGCAAGCATGTCCAACCTGCAGCCCCCTCTGCAGCACAGCCAGGGCCTGAGAAAGAGCCCTGGGACATATAAGGAACAGACTGTGAACTGTCCTTACACGCTGCAGACTGCGGTTTGCGATGTCTCTGTGCTACAGAGTGGGACTGTGTGTTCTCTTTTAACTGCTCTCATTTTTTCCTTAATTTTTTCTTTTTAATCTGTTGCTGTTTAATAAATTGTATTCGCTTTGAACTGTATGTAAGGATCAGTGGGTCAAGAACACATCCAGTGTGAAGATAGCACCCCCGAGTGGGAACACCCTAGCCCCTGCCCTAAGTGGATTAAGCCCCAGAAAACCTGGGCCCAGCCTTGTTGGGATTTTGAGAACTCTTCTACTCAGGAGAGTGGAAGGGGAGCCCTTAGGGTCAGGGAGGCCTTTGGGTAAAAGAAGTGGGAGCGGGGACTCAGATCCTTTCACTGGTCCATTTCACTGAGGGGCTACATCTACACTGGTGGCTTCTTGTGCAAGAACAGCTGTTCTTGTGCAAAAACTTGCCGGGTGTCTACACTGCACGTGCATTCTTGCACAAGTAAATTTACAGTCTAGCGTTGGAAAACGGGGCTTCTTCTGGAAGAGTTATTACTCTCCCCACAAGGAATAAGCCCTCTTGTGCAGGAGCTCTTGTGCAAGAAGGCAGTGTAGACAGGCAAAATTAATTTCTTGCACAAGAAACCCCTATGGCTAAAATGGCCATCAGAGCTTTCTTGCGCAAGAAAGCGTCCACGCCGCCATAGACGCTCTTGCGCAAAAGCACATGCCAGTGTAGACGCGCTCTTGTGGAAGACTTTTTGTGCAAGAACTCTTCCACAAAACAGTTCTTGTGCAAGAAGCTGCCAGAGTAGACACAGCTGGGTAGTATAGAATCCAGAAAAGTTCCCCAACAATAGCGGGATCATTCCCCCGCTTACACACATTTCAGAACCAATTCTTACTATGAGTACCACACAATGAGCTGAGACATAAGGGGGAGAAGACCCAATTGGCCTCATCTCCCACTAACAGGAAGATTGAAGAAGGAAGATCTGTTGCCTCACATTGCTGCTAGATTTGGAATTTCTGCTTGAGGGCCATAAACCGAGCCCAGTAGCCTTTCAAAAGGTATCTGAAAGTAAGGTCACTTAAGGGTGGTAGTGAAGTAGCTTGGGAGATAAAAATAATTCTATTACTGCACATCAGAGCTCCCAACCAACCCATCAGCAGTTAGGAGGGGATTAAGCTGATGAAGCCCCAGAGTTCTTCTACTTACCTCATGAGAGTTGGTTCCATGGGCCACTCTAGTTTTACAGACTGTAAATGGAAAAAAAAAAGAAAAAAGGAGAGTGAATGAAGCGAGCCACATAACAAGTCCTCTATAACAGCTGTTCCCAACCCATACAGCACTTCACCAAACTTAGGCCTCACTGGGACCAGCTAGATTTTCTAGAGCTCACGGTCTTTGCCTGAACACTATTGTATTGTTCACTGCTGTGGATCTGGACTGCTCCAGACACGTCTCAACTGCTATTCTGGAACTGGAGTTAGTACTGCCTGAACGCTATTGTATTGTTCACTGCTGTGAATCTGGACTGCTCCAGACATGTCTCTTAACTGCTATTCTGGAACTGGAGTTAGTATGCCCTGGATTAGAGCAGTGATTTTCAAATGTTTTTTTCTCATGACCCGGTTGAAGAAAACTGTTGATGCTTGCAATCCAACATAATTTGACTATAGTATGGGCTCTGGGGTGGGGCTGAGGATGAGAGCTTTAGGATGTAGGAGGGGCTCTGGCTTTGGGGGTGTCAGAGTGGTGGCAGGAGGGGTTTAGCTTAAGCAGCTTCCTGACATCACAGACCATGCTGTGCCTTAGAAGCAGCCAGCAACAGGTTCCTAGCCAATGAGAGTGTGGAGCTAGTACTTAAAATGGGGCAGTGCGCGGAGCCCTATGCTCTCTCCCCTCCCCCCCACCTAGGAGCAAGGCCTGCTGCTGGCTACTTCTGGGGGCATAGCACAGTCTGTGGTGCCAGGACAGGTAGGGAACCTGCCTTAGCACCCCCACTGATCACCTGATCCTCCTGCAGCAATGAGAACCAATTCCTGGCCTTCCACCACCCAGTACTGGGTCACAATCCATAGTTTGAAAACCACTGGATTAGAGCACACAGATCACAAGGGAAGGCAGGCAGCAGTAACACTTAGGGCTCAGCACACAAGTTCATCAGTTAGTTGGGAAGCTAGCACAAAGCACCAGTTACAAAAGCCTGAAATAGCAGTGCCAGTGTTTTCAACTTCTGTGATTTCTTCGTGAATCACCTGATGTCATCAGGTGAAGAGCTCCAGTCTTCTTGGGCCAACCCATTCTGAATGACTGCTTTCCCCATTTGCCTTCTGCCGAAGAGCAGCCATCCAGAGCTGTTGCACAAAGCTGGTAGAGCTTTATCTCCCTCCCTTTATCAGCCCACAGCATTCTCACATGAGGGAGCAGAAAGAGCTCAGCAGTTCAGAGCTGCTCCAGTCTGCCCAGCTCTGAACAATGGGTCAGTTTGCTGGTCCCCCTCTCCATCCCTGCAACACCAGGCCTGGCAAGAGGGTGGAGGGAAACCAGCTGCAGTTACACCCCGCCCCCCAATACCTCAATCTGGAAGAGTAGGATGAAGAACCCAGGAGAAACAGAGGTGAGGCTACAAGGGTGGAATTGATATGAGAGGTAAATGCAGGGCTATGATGTGTAATGCAGGACTGATTTGAGAAGTGGGGCAGAATTAATTGTTCTGCAGGGGATAGGAGCTCTTACAGAGAGGACTCTCCTTATTCAATACATTTGAGAGTCTGAACAGCACTAATTATCATCACACACACACACACAAACACGGGATAGGCAGGTGAACATAAAAAAAAAGACTAAAAAAGAGCCCCCTCAATATATGTAATCTCTCATGCTTTGGGTGTGTGTGGGGGTCCTGACTGAGCTATTGAACTTGGGGTTGGCAAAACTGCAGTATGAGTGGCTGGGAACTGCTGCTTTGCAGTCTGACCGCCTCAGTGCTGCAGAGCCACACTGCTGTTAGCCAGTCTTTGCATGTGAATGAACTGGAGGATCGAAATCATTCAGTTGGCTAGAAGTTGCTGATTCATGGTATAACTTCATGAGATCTGCATCTTATTTTGGTAAAAAGAGGGCAGCCATGCAGTACAACAATTCAATTTAATCTCAGTACCATACAAAGTACTGCAGGAGACTGAGGCTGAGCAGACAGGGGATCAAATGAGAAAAGGGAAAAAAAAAAGTCACAGTATAGGTGTCTGTTACAGTGGAACAATTAGCTTACTGCAGCTCCCTAAGACTGCCGCTCCTCAAACCTGCCTTACACAGTTTATTATTTTAACCTTCTAGGCATTTAAAGGGCATACTTTTCATCTGGATTTTCAGACAAAGGAAAAATGAGTCTCTGGAGAAAAACAACAAACCCAGCTGGTGGGAACAACCTCATGAGCAGGTTCAAGACGCTGTTAAAATTGTGAGCATTTCCCAGAAATGGGGCTTTGTTTACTGCAGTGAGGTGTTTGCAGTAGAGAACATCCACAGGGAGATCTTCACAAGCCCATGGGGAGACACATTATTCCACATATCAACTGTTCAATTTAATGGCGCTAGTTACAGAAAAGTTCTAGTGTCCCTGACAAAGAAACATGCAGTTCTACATTGGTACCAGATATACTAAAAGTGATAAAAGCCTGTTTACATACTGAATGGGAATGTTAGTCCATTCTTCTCTATGAGCTGCAAGGTGTCTTCTCCACAGGAGCTTGTCAGCTCCATAAAGGGAGGTGAACAGATCCTCTCATCTGCAAGACAAAAAAAGACCCCCCCAAAAAAGTCAAATGGAGATCTAGGGCTTTTTCCTCCTAATTCAGGTCATGTTGTTCTCTCCATTAGTAGCTGTTTTCCATCCTAGTCATTCCACCAAGCAAAGCACATTAAAGATCAATTGCCAAATATTGATTTAGGACTCTGGGATCATTAGAACTGATAAAGGCCCCAATTTACAGACCCTCTTGAAGGAAACAGAAACGAAAGACAAAATGTTAACAGCTGGCTATGCAAAACCACTAATTGCTTTTAAAAATGTAGCTGCATATTACTCACCCAAGGACACAGCACAGAATAAAGCTCAAATCTTGGCTCACAATCTATTGTTTTAAGGCAGGCCTGCCCCATTCCCTTTAAGGTCCTACCTCTGTTCCTCCTCCCACTACCTGCAAGTCTGGAGCTATGTCTAGACTACATCTCTCTGTCGAAGGAGGGATATAAATGAGCCTGAAAGTGCAAATGAAGCACGGATTTAAATATCCCGCACTTCATTTGTATATTCGCGTCTGATCGCTGTTTTGAAAAAGGGTATTTTGAAAGTGAAACTGCAGTCTAGATGTGGTTCTTTGGGGGGAAAAAAAACCCTTTTTCGAAAGGACCCATACTCCTGAAAAAAATGAGGAGTACGGGTTCTTTCAAAAACGGGTTTTTTTGCTGGCAACAGGTGGGGAAGGGCGATGAGGAACAAGGGCCAGGCCTTATGTAAGAGGGGGTAAAGACCCACCTCAACTCATCTCTTCCACTGGGAAGAGGCTGGAACTGCCCCTGAGCAATGCTGCAGGGAATCCAGGATAAATGACATCCCAGAGTCATTCAGCCTGGGACT